GCTCTAGTATCCAAATTCCACTTCACCTTACCTTCCAGTGTCTCCCTAATGATAGCCACACTTCTTGGTCCAGCTAGCTACCTCTTCTATATCGTGTGCATGATGGTCTTGTCGTATGTGGTGATGGCAGCTGTCATGTTCGTCGTTCCTTCTCCATCTCAAGAGAAGTACGCCTTGTTGGGTGTGCCGCTGGGCATTTCCCTTCCGTTTATGTTGAAGAACATGTTGTGGCCTGCTCTAATCTCTGAATTCCCCTTCACCTTGCCTACCAATATCTCCGAAATGATAGCAAAGGTTCTTGGGTACCTCATCTATGTCACATGCATGACTGGGTTATCTTTGCTTCTGCATGGCATAGCCTACTCCGTCTGGAGTGAAGCACTACGGTCGCCTACTGTGAAGGGGGTCCCTTATTGGATATACGTGACCGCCTGTGGCATCACTATAGGTGTGGTGATGGATAATTTCACGAAGCATTTTAGTGTGTCCGCCTTGATGGCCATACTTCTTTTCCTCGCTGGCTATCTCATCTATATTGTGTGCATGATGATGTTGTCGTCTCTCGTATTCAATGCCATCATGGTCCCTGTTCTACCTATTCTGCTGCCGTGGATGTTGAAGTACAGGAACTGGGCACCCAGGATCATCGCCGGGATCACCTTAGTTGTGAATGATATGCACGGCTTGACTCTGATTCCGGAGCCTACTTTTATTTCGGAATTTCTCTCCACCATGCTTTTCAGTGTGTCGAACATGAAAGCCACATTTCCTGGCTATGTCGTCCATATGGTGTGCATGGTGGCTATGTTGTATTTGCTGCTCATTGTAGCCACTGGGGCCATCTACAAATTACGCCTTTGGCGGCCAACGCGACACTTCCACACTGGGTTGATGCTCAGCATAATTGTCGGCCTCACCCTTCTGTTGTTGACTGTGATGTGGCGCACACCATTCGAGGAGCCTTCCAATGACGCCGACATGGAAACCACATTTCTTGGCCTCATTGGCTACCTCATCTACATCGGCTTCTCCGTGGAACTATCATATTGGATGTTGGTTTGTGTCACGGAAGTTGTAGAATTAGTTAGGACGGTCGGCCTTGTAAAAATAGTTAGAATGATTCCGTGGCCAAATACTTTTTACAAATTTTCATTGGGCGAAGTCAGGAAAGCATAGACCAAAGGTGAAAACACAATTGCATTGTTGTTATAGTACAGACTTATAAATAAAACATTTGTTATTGGCTGATGTCGACTACTGCAACAGTATGTATACCAACATACTTACTCTATATGCTGTGGTCAATGGCATCATGCTCGTGGTGCTGAATATGTTCATGAATACATTTCTGGTGGCAGAGTTGTTGCTTGTGGCCATATGGCTGGGCGCCTTGTTCCAGATACTACTTCCACCTTCAGGGCAGGGCAATGAAAATTATGTTGGATCTGGATACAACGGCTAAGAAATGTACTCTGGTCCCCGGCATGAAAGCCGTACTCATTGGACTGGCTGACCTCATAGACAATTGCCGCATGTCGTACTTGGTGATGAGGCATCTCGTCGTTCTAGGTATGGTCTTCTCCCCGCTACCATTGGAGTCCATGACGACAAGCACCAAGTACAAAAAGGAAGCAGGTTTTGGGTGGTTATCATCAGGTTTTCAAAGGATGAAACACAAGATGGCTATGGAGAAGCTCATTGAGGAGTCTAAGGCAACAATTCAGAGCCTCTTCCATGTGCAAAAATAAAATAAAATCAGAGCCTCTTCATCCACACGGTTCTGATCCCGATGACTCTCACAGGCGGCATCATGTACTATGGATCAAAAAGTCAAATTCGGAGTTGTATAATTTTGTATTGAACAGTCTTTCATTCTGTATTCTAGGGGAAAAAAACCCAACACAACACCTTCTGTGCGTAGGAATACATTTAAAAGGCATTAGCAGTTCGAAGAGAAGACGTCGGAGTGCAACTGAAATCGGTTGAAAGATTAGATATCTCTGCTCATTGTCTGTAGGTCAGTATATATTTGTGTTCAAAAAGATTCTAATTGTACAATTGAAATCATAATTAAGATGGGACGTCATTTTGCTGGTGCTACTGCTAGGACGTCTGAGCCTGAGGATACAGCGCAAGTCACATATATGAAATACTCCACAGTACCTTTGTCGTCTATCTCGTTGATGTGAGCAGACTCGAAAATAAATTATTTCTGGAGCTCATCACTTCAGTAGCTGGGCCTGGGGATACTTGAAGTTCCCTTGGCATTGCCATCACTAGTGAGTTGTGACAGGGTATTTGGACATCAGCATCGTACAAGGCATTTCGTCGAACAGCTCAGGTGCAAACGCCAGACCAGGCTGTCTCAATTGCTAGGCAGTGAAGGAATCTCATTGTCTAAGTTGTAGCAGAGTACCTGATTTGCAGGTCCTCTAGTTCGTATGAGGCTGGTGGCCATCGACGGGCATCTAAGACCGCGCCGGCGCCGGTGGAGGCGCTGACCCTAAAGTGCAAATTTGTGAGGACTATTATGTATGTGATGTAACAGAGTTTGTCTCACACTCAACACTACCACGTATATCAAATAGCAGTGACAAACTAGTATCAGTAGACCAACTCTCAAATTCCTTCACACTGAATGTTAAATTGTGATCCAAATTCTAGTATCGTGTTGAATTAGACGTAGTACACCCCACCTCTTCGTCAAATTCGACATAGTTTAACGAATTTCTAAAAATCTCCCATTCATCCTACCTCTGGGAGTAAACCTGCACTTTCAAGAATGTTCTAGGAAAGAGGGATGCTGTCGTTAGGAAGAAGAATATTTGAACATGGTTTAGAAAGACACATCTGGGTAAACGAGGACTACTGGAACAGGACCTCCAATAACCCACTCTGTTTTTAAAGAGAGATTAGTAGGTGAATTACCCCGCAATTTCTCAGAGATTTTAAAAAGTACAAATAATTGCAAGGGTAAAAAAACAAAAGGACAAAACCTACTCCAGCTAGGGGTCGTTGCTGGGCTTAAAAATATACATAACATGTACTTATATATAAACTTGCCCTTGCATCAATCCATCGGTCGAAACAAATCTGGGCCTATCCACTTGATCCTACAAAAAATTGCAGAGTAAGACGAGTGTAAAGTCAATAACAGTTGAGGCACAAAGCACATCATAATTGCTGACTAAGACAATCAATAATACTAAAGCGCACCATGGCTTGGACTGACGCACGTGTTGCTACATACAAACCAAATGTGTGACGACTAAGTTCGGTGCCATATGGTGTAACATATAGTACATTTTAGTCTGTCCGAGCTACAAGTCAATAGTAGGTCAGGACCATGGCTTGGAATCAATAATACTAAAGCGCACCATGGCTTGGAATATAAAGTTTGTGTAACCACCGCCATATGGTTTACAAAGTATTGTTGAGTAGGTCAGGACCAATTTTCACTAACTATGCTATATATGTAGGAGTACAATCAGTAGTCGAGTGCCTTTCCCAAAGTAAGACATTTTCACTAACCATGGCTTGGTCTCGCTGGCTATCATGTATGTTATCATTGAGCACATGCTGGCAATCTTCGCTTTTGCAGGCAACTAACATTCTAGTTGTTATTTTCAAGATTTTTGGAAGTAGTGTGAGTGGTTTTATTGTTCAGAGTACAATTTTGAACAACGCTAGGTCTCTTGTGACAAATTGGACATTTAAAAAGTACAATTTGCATAATTGGTTGTTACCAAGTCTTGCTCTTTCATCCAATAGTTAAGACATACGACAAAGTTTCGGCTTAACTGGCCCTCTTTAAAAAACGTAGCCATTTGCAGACTAAGACAATTAATATGATCAAATCAAGAACGGTAGCTGGCGACACCTCATGACTTCATGGAGCCCGTATTACTACATGTAAACAGACATTAATGCTCATTATGCATATGATTAATTAAGTTGGGTGCCACATGGTGTAACATACATTATTATTTTGTTGCTAGATGTGTGAAAAGTACAGGTTGTCGTGCCACATAACTAGTCCTTTTTTTCCAAAAAGGATATATAATTAGTCCTCCTCTGCTTTGGACATAACTAGGGTGTAGCAGATATATGACGATCTATATTTGTTTACAAGGCACAATGATCGACCTCCTCTGCTTTTATACCGATAATCTAACGCTGGTTTATCAGTATAAATTATTCATTTATAACCATACTTATGGTGATACCATGTAGGATGTAATCATGCAAACGCTGGCAAGCTTTGTTTTGCGTGCAACTAATACACATGTGCTTCTTTTTGGAGGTGATGATGCTCCTGAAATAAATATAAATGTTGGATATTCTCTGTATCATGGCTTGGTCTTCCTTTTTCTTTTTAAGCTACTCTTTTATCTAATCATCTGTTTCCATTTGTATGTATACTTTTATCTAGTTATCTAATCCTATTTTTTATTTTTATCTTTTCAATTTATAATTGAGCTTGTTAACTGGTCTTCACTTTTTTTAAAACTTATTGCATCTACCTGGTCCTATCGCTTCCTTTGTTATTTATTACAAATATTTATGTATGGTCCTACTTTTGTTTACATTACTATCTAGTTATTTCATAAAAACAATTGATCAGCTGATATTTGTTTATCTATTTTGCGACGTGTATTTCACGCACATTATTAAGTGTATACATAATAACTGATTAGTATATCCGCTACTGCATGAATCGTGAAGATGAGTGTTATCCATGGGTACCTGAAAGTGGTAAAGTTCAACAAGCAGGAAAATTTCTGAGTGTTTTTCGCAGTGACATGTTGGTATATAGTCTTTTTTTTCCCTGTCTCCGAGTGTCTGGCAGCGCCAAGCCACATCTCTCTCTATATATATGTGTTGAGATATCAGCTGATGCAACAGCAGCGCCAGTTTCAACCTAGCTAGCTTAGTTTCGGTCTCATCAATTTAGAGCTGTTGTTTCCTAAACCTAGCTAGCAAGCCAAGCTACCCAACCAATGGTGTCCAAGGAGTTGTGGGCCGGGGTTGGATCAGCTCTGGCGTTCTTAGCTGGCCTCATCACCTTGGCAGTGAACCAGGTCAGGATCAAACTGTTTATCAATAAGATCACCGCTTCCTTTAGCTCAACCGTACAAATCACCATCCCTGAGTACACAGCCAACCGTTTCGAACGCAATGAGTTGTTCGTTGCGATCGAGGCCTACATCTCCTACAATTGTAGCGATCGGGCACGCAAGCTCAAGGCCGAGCTTGGCAGTGACGAACAGAAACCCCATTTATTTGTTGATGACGAACAGGAGATCATTGACACCTTCGAAGGTACCACACTCTGTTGGTATGCCTACACGGAGCAACCACGGTCCAGCGTCATCGTCCAAACCCCCGGTGACGAGGAGCGCCGCTTCTACCGAGTTGCATTCCATCGCAGCTTCCGCGACGAAGTCAATCGTTCGTATCTGCCCCACGTCCTTAAAGTGGGCCGCACCGTCATCGCCAACAACCGCCAGCGCCGCCTCTTCACCAACAACCCAGATGGAGAGACTTACTGGAGCCATGTGGCGTTCCAGCACCCGGCGACGTTCGATACGCTTGCCATGGACCCCATGGAGAAGCAAGCCATCATCAACGACCTCAATGCCTTCCGGAAAGGAAAGCATTACTACGACAAGGTCGGTAAGGCATGGAAGCGTGGGTACCTGCTCTTTGGCCCCCCCGGCACCGGAAAATCCACGATGATCGCCGCCATATCCAACCACCTTGAGTATGATATCTACGACCTCGAGCTCACGGCGGTCAAGAACAATATAGAGCTCCGGAAGCTCTTCATTGAGACGAAGGGAAAGTCCATCATCGTCATCGAGGACATTGACTGCTCCGTCGACTTTACCGGCAAGCGCGGGGACAAGAAGTCCGGTGGTGAGAGCGATAACATGAAGAAAGAGCGCAAGCAGGACGCCGATGGCACCAAGCTGACCCTTTCCGGGATGCTCAACTTCATTGATGGGCTGTGGTCGGCGTGCGGCGGCGAGCGTATCATCATCTTCACCACCAACCACAAGGACAAGCTGGACCCAGCGCTGATCCGGCCAGGTAGGATGGACAAGCATATCGAGATGTCTTACTGTCGCTTCGAGGCCTTCAAGGTGCTGGCCAACAACTACCTGGACATCACCATCAGCGCCCACCATTTCTTCGAGCTGTTCACGGAGATAGGTAAGCTGCTGCAGGAGGTCGACATGTCCCCGGCGGAGGTTGCCGGGTACCTGATGCGCACGGAGGAGGAGGATGCTGACGCATGCCTCAAGCGCACGGAGGAGGAGGATGCTGTCGCATGCCTCAAGCGCACGGAGGACGAGTATGCTGACGCGCGCCTCAAGCGTCTCGTGGAGGCTCTGAAAAAACGCCAAGGGCAACGCGGCCACGGATAAAGCGACAGCGAAGGAAGAAATTGTCCATACAGATGTTTGAGGCAGCCGAAGCTAAATGGCAGATATACGAGAAGAAGAATGAAAGGACGAAAGCCGGCCGCGTGTTAGCACTTAGCAGTACGTCTTTTGAAAGTGTGTGTTGCCGCATGGCCAGGTGATCAAAATTGAAACTTGATGCATTTAATTTGTTCTCGTTTAGGCTGTAGTTGGTGTTTGCATGTGTGATATACTCAAAACTTGTGCAACCTAGCCATGCATTTACGCGCGGCAATACTCCTCATGTCTTATTATTGGGAAAATTTATTAAGATAATTTTCTTTGAATTTTATACTATGCCTTGTGCCCTCTCCGTTTCATTTTAGCTGTCATTAATCATGCTGTCTACTCCAAGTGCATAGTGTTGGCGCAGCCCCCCCTCTCTCTCTGAACGAAGGTAAAATAAGCACTTTTTACTGGCGACCAACGCCCCGGCGCACCAAACGCCTCCGCTTTCCTGTTATATATATGCACGCGTACCACGCATAACAAACGGATTATAAAGCCCGCTTTGTAGCTAGCCTAGGCAGCGCAGTACCCACGCAAGACGTGTTCACCCAGCGCACGAACGCCTGATGACTCGGTTTCCCTCAACGTGCGCCGCTGCTCATCCGCGGGACCTCCGCACCATCGCGCATACTCAGCGCCCGCTGCAACTACCCATTGCTACACGACCTAGCACTACTGTGATGGACTCGACGCGAGCAAACTCACACACCACCACACACACACGTACACACGCAGCTGCGCCCCGCACGTCCTCCGCGCACCCGACGCGCCCGACCGCATCAGACGCCGTGGCTTATTCCAACACATAGGATGCCGGAGACTTGAGCAGTGCCATGTGTCTGTTTGGTGCAAAGCTTCCAGCTGCTATCTCAACTTGTTTATTGCTAGGATGCACTACGGACCACGACTTGGGCGGTGTTGCGCAACACATCATGGATAGGTTTTGGGATAATATATGCAGTAGCTACTCATGTGAGGGTTCTACCGGGTAACCAAGAGATGGGGTCTAGCGACTGGGTGACTGGGCGGGCGACCATGCGCCCGACCGCGGCTAAGTCGTCCAGCGCCGGCGATCAACGGCGGGTCGGCGGCCGGTTCTGGGCGCTCGCCGAGACCGACGACGACGACGAGGATGAGGATGGGGAGGCAGCGCCGGTGGAGTCGCCGCCGTCTCCCTCTCCTTCGGATCTTATTTGTGAGTTTTTCCATTCAAGTTATAGCGAAGAGGAGGTGGCTACTACGATCGATCGGGTTCTACCACCGGACGATCCGGCACGTATAGGTCTTCACGTGGGCGAGAAGATCGAGATGATCCGGCGCGTTGTTCATCGGAAGACGGCGGCGTCGGCGATCCGGCCTTGGAAAGGGCCCATTCCTAAGGCGAGTCTTCCAAATCTTACATTATTTGATATGATTAGGCCGGAATCTTGGATCACGGTGAAGAAGCGGAAGAGTGGGAGGCGGCACGCCGGTCGGCAGGCGTCAGCGGTGCCCGTCATGGCAGCGGCGGCGACCGAGATCTCGACCGCGAGGGCGATCCGTTTGAATCAGCTGCTGGGTGCGGCTGGGCCGGTTCGGACGGATTCGGGCCTGAGTGAAGTTGGCCGGTGTCAGATGGGTATGAGGCCCATGCTGATCGAGGTCGCTCTTCTGCCCCTTTCGGTATCGATGCCCCATGCACGTACGAGGGCGAGTGTGTTTTGTGTCCTGCGCCGTCGCCTCTTCTGTCTAGGGTTCGCAAGCTTGGGACGCGTGGTTTCCCGATTTGCGGAGCTAGTCGGGCAAGGAGGATTCCTCCACTCCGGGATATGGCCGGCCGTGGGGCTGCTCCGCCGCCTGCTGGGAAGCCCACCGGTGCGGTGGGAAGGGGCGGGGCAGTTTCGCCACCGCCGGCGGGGCTTGGGCAAGGTGCTCTGGGGCCGCCCGGACAGAGGCCGCCGGCGGGCGGTGGTGGCGCGCCAGGTCTTCCGGGCCGGGGTGCTTCTTATCAGGGCGTCCGGCCACCGGGGCAACAGCTCCCTGCTGCTGGGCGGGGCGGGCCGAGGCCGCCTGCGCCGGGTGCGGCGCCCGGAGCTATACCGGCAGCGGGTCGTGCTGGCATGCGGCCACCGGCGCCGGGCGTGGCCAGGGTGGCTCCGGCTGGTCGTGGTGGTACTGCCCTTGGGGTGGTGCAGACTCCCTCTGGTGGTCCGCCTCGCGCCGCACCTCCGCCCCACTATGTCGCAAGGCCGCCTCAAAACCGCGCGGGTCCATCACAGACGAGGACGAACTCTAGTAACAGAGACCCCAAGGATCCGCCCCGGGGCCAGTGGGGGGATGATGGGTATGATGTGTATGGTGAAGGTCAGCACCGAGGATCCTCTTCCACAGGAGGAGGTCGTGGATATGCTTGGCAAAGTGACGGGTCTGCTGAGAGACCGTTTCTCGGCCCGACAGGTGGTTTTGTCGAGGGGGCCTCCGGCCCGGATCACCGTCAGAGAGGAGGCTTTCGTGGCCATCGTGGTGGTCGGGGTGGGGGCCGTGGGAGATTTCGTCGACCGCCCCCACCCAGGGCAGTTTACCCTGCGGCGTCTACTGTCGAGTCCGACCATACTTCCACTGAGCTTCCTTCCCAGGTGATGGAGGTGGTGACTGCCTTGGCCAGTGTTGACGTTCCTGAGGCTGGGACGGTGGATGAGGGTACTGACAGGTCTGATGTCGAGAGGGCTTCCAAATATGCTCGTAAGGAGAGGATGATTTGTTACCGTTGTGGTGAGAAAGGCCACTTCACTGCTGAGTGCGTGGCCCAGCTGTGTGAGTCGTGTGGCAAGCCTACACATGACTCGGGGGAGTGCCCGCTGTTGCGTGACCTGCCTCCGTCGCTTAATATTTATGGAGTCTATTGTGCTAAGCTCATGTTTTTTGAGTCCCCGGCTGCAAGAGAGGTCCCGGAGGAAACCTTGAGCCTAACTACCGGGATTGTGAAAGCGACACAGGGCGAAGTGACTGAGGCACATATTGTGAGGAGGCTTCAGGAGCTGGCTCCCGGGGATTTTCGATGGGAATTGGTGCTTCTCGAGGACAGGATTTTTAAGGTTGATTTCCCAACTGTGGATGATTTGCAGAGATTGTTGAGCTTTGGCTTGTGTAGAGTCCCCGGTACTAAGTGTATCTTGGAGTTTCACGAGTGGAAGCAGGTTGAGCCTAAGGGAAAGCCGCTTACGTAGGTCTGGTTGCGGTTTACAGGGGCTCCATCTAAGCCTCTGCAGGATGCTCGAGTGGTGGCTAGTATGGGCATCATGGTTGGGAAGACAGAAAAAGTGGATATGCCTTTCACACGTGCTCATGGGGTGGCCCGACTTTTAGTGAGTGTGCTGGATATTGAGTTCGTGCCTGATAAGGTCAACTGGACCTATAGGGGAGAGGTGTTCCCGCTAGAGATCGAGTTTGAGGACACTGATTTATTTGCTGATGCGGTTAATGGTAACGATGTTGACATGCACGACAGTGATGGCAATGCGGGGGCCAAGGGGGCACCGTCAGATGAGCCCACGCGAGAGGGGTCTAACGGTTCTCAACCAGCTTCTCAGTTGCCTGGGGATGGGGCCGGGGCTGAGCCCGCAGCATCACCAGTTGTGCCCATGGCTACTCTGCGTTTTGGGTCCTTTGAGCCAGCCTCGGCACCTCCTAGACTCTGGAGTGACCGGGTAGAGTCTGATGAGTATCATGAGCACACGCTCCCTCCGTTGGAGTTCGAGGGGGATGCTATATTTTTTGCTGAACGGTCGGCAAGGACTTTGGTTGGAGCTTCGGAGGGGACGCCGGAGGTGAAGGAAATATGCCCTAGAGGCAATAATAAAGTTATTATTTATTTCCTTATATCATGATAAATGTTTATTATTCATGCTAGAATTGTATTAACCGGAAACATAATACATGTGTGAATACATAGACAAACAGAGTGTCACTAGTATGCCTCTACTTGACTAGCTCGTTAATCAAAGATGGTTATGTTTCCTAGCCATAGACAAAAGAGTTGTTATTTGATTAATGGGATCACATAATTAGTTGAATGATCTGATTGACATGACCCATTCCATTAGCTTAGCACCAGATCGTTTAGTATGTTGTTATTGCTTTCTTCATGACTTATACATGTTCCCATAACTATGAGATTATGCAACTCCCGTTTGCCGGAGGAACACTTTGGGTGCTACCAAACGTCACAACGTTACTGGGTGATTATAAAGGAGCATTACAGGTGTCTCCAAAGGTAGATGTTGGGTTGGCGTATTTCGAGATTAGGATTTGTCACTCCGATTGTCGGAGAGGTATCTCTAGGCCCTCTCGGTAATACACATCACATAACCCTTGCAAGCATTGCAACTAAGATGTTAGTTGTGAGATGATGTATTACAGAATGAGTAAAGAGACTTGCCGGTAACGAGATTGAACTAGGTATTGGATACCGACGATCGAATCTCGGGCAAGTAACATACCGGTGACAAAGGGAACAACGTATGTTGTTATGCGGTCTGACCGATAAAGATCTTCGTAGAATATGTAGGATCCAATATGGGCATCCAGGTCCCGCTATTGGTTATTGACCGGAGACGTGTCTCGGTCATGTCTACATTGTTCTCGAACCGTAGGGTCCGCACGCTTAACATTACGATGACAGTTATTATGAGTTTATGCATTTTGATGTACCGAAAGTTGTTCGGAGTCCCGGATGTGATCACGGACATGACGAGGAGTCTCGAAATGGTCGAGACATAAAGATTGATATATTGGAAGCCTATGTTTGGATATCGGAAGTGTTCCGGGTGAAATCGGGATTTTACCGGAGTACCGGGAGCTTACCGGAACCCCCCCGGGAACTATATGGGCCTTAGTGGGCTTTAGTGGAAAGGAGAAAGGGGCAGCCCAAGGTGGCCGCGCGCCTCCCCCTCCCCTAGTCCTATTAGTACTAGGAG